GTCTTTTTCCTCTGAAGGAGCGGGTGTAGGCAGTGGGTGCTGTTACGCAAAAACCGCGATAGAGTGAAGCCGCGGAAGTCGAAGCGTGAAGTGGCGAGGGTTAACTGTATATGAAGAAGAAGATGGCATTAGGAAGGAAGGCTTATTAACAACCTGCGGTATCCAGATGACACAACCTTGCTTACTGAAAGTGAGGAGGACTTGAAGCCCTTTTCCAGATTGGGAGAGACCAATCAGTTGTATCATAGATGGCCGCTCATAAGGGTTCTACTCACCAAAGTAGGATGTAGAACATTGTCTGTATTGATTAAATCATGCCAGCGGACCCTGACGTCTCCTTCCCATAGAGGCGTCCAGCCAGCAACCTTTTGGTGACTGTGTTAGTCTGGATAGACTAGAGAAACAAATTCATAGAGACTCATAGGTGAATAACAAAGAGGTTTATATACAAGAGCAGTTAAATATTGAGGAAACATCCCAGTCCAGTCCAAAGCAAGTCCATAAGTCCGATATGAGCCCATATGTCTGATACCAATCTATAAAGTCCTCTTCTGACTCATGCAACACATGCAATGATGCCAAATGCAGGAAGATCACAGGCCAGTGGGATGGAAGTCTTCTGGGTCCAGTGGCAGCGTAAGCATCTCAGCGCTGGCAGGGATCTCCACGTGGCTTCTCCGGGCACATGCCAATATTCTTCTCCAGCATCACAATTCCGGTGCATTGATTCTTCTTTGGTCTTCCTTATTCAGCGTTCAACTTTCACGAGCCTAGGAGGTGATTGATGACCATGGCTTGTGCCAGGAGCATCTCAGTCCTCAAAGTCACCTCCATGCTTTTCAATACTCTACAGAGGTCTTAGGGTATTGAAAACCACTACCTGGTGCTGTAGTGGTCAACAGGTGGCGCTGCAATCTGCATGGTCGGCAGTTCAGAATGACCAGCAGCTCCGTGGGAAAAAAGACTGGGCTTTCTACTCCTACAAACCCACAGGGTCTCAGAACCCACAGGGAGTCGCTCTGAGTCAGCAATGACTAGAGTGCAGTGAGAGAAAGAGGTCTGTTGCGGTAGACTGACCCAAGTTGGCTTATGATCTCTTGTGAGGGATGTTGGTCTTCCTTACAGTGAGTTGTCATCCAGACTGAAGGCTGCAACCCTCGATCTTCATCAGCAAGGGAGGGCTTCAAGAACTATGATCTTCACAGAGGGTGAGGCATTCATACAGCAGGACAATGACCCCACTTGCCCTCACCCTCCAGACCTCCTTGTCTGAGTGACCCAGGGCCCCTGAAACAGAAATCCCATGGGGAGTGACTAACAAACAGTTGTTTTCTCACAGGGAGTCTGTTGTTAGGAGCCATCGAGTCCTGACTCAACGCGACCCCCATGTTCAACAGAATGAAACACCGCCCGGTTCTGGGCCATCCCCACAATGGTTCCCATCCTTTGAACCCAACAATGCGGCCGCTGTGCCCATTGGAAGGTGCGTGAGGCTGGGTTGACTAGAGAAACCAATCCAGTTGGCATTCATGTACGTCTAAGAAAGAGCTTTATCTCAAGAAATACCTGTCTATCAAGAAAATATCCAAGTCTGATCCAACTCAGGTCCCTAAGTCCATACCAGTCCAGAAATCCCTCTTCAGACTCCCACAGGGAAGATCACAGGCTGGTGGGTGCAAAGTTGTGTGGATCCAATGATGGTGGCTCTGGCAGCAATCCAGTCAGCCAGCAGGAAGGTGAAGGCGGAGAGGGGGCAGGGAGATTCCCAGGGTTCTCCTTATGAGAAGGTCACGCCCATAAGGAGTCACCATCAGGCTTTGACCTGATTGACTGGTTGAACTCCGCCCCTACACTTTGATATATCTTCAGGTTGACATGAAAGTATGTAATGACTACAGGAGGCTAGATGTCCGAACGAGGGCCGCCAGCTCCAGGGAAGGCTCTGGGTGACGGTCCTTGTTCTGTTCAGTTCACTCCTGGGTTTCTGCATCCTAGTTTCTGCAGTATATTGCCTATTGGATCTCTCTCTCTCTCTCTCTCTCTCTCTCTCTCTCTCTCTC